GACTGGAGGTTGGGTGTCTCAGATTAAGCCTCTGCTGAAGGTGGATTGTGGAGTGGAGATTTGCTAAGGCAAAGGAGGTGCAGATGGATATGTTACCCATCCTGCAGCCCTGCCTATCTGCAAGAAGAGCAGCAACTTTATTAACTTCAAAATCTACAATGTGTTAACTGTGGTAGTGAGATCTGGAGGGGCTTCCCTGCCAGCATCATGCGTGGCTTGTCTAAGATGAGACCGTAAACTATGACAGGGAAAAGAGCTGAACCATTGTACTATAATTCCTTTGGTTTTCTAGTGTCACCTGGACTATTTGTACTCCCAGTTGTGAGGTCTTTCCATAGCAGCATCCTGACTGGGGAAAATCTAATCCATAGCCAAGGCCAAGACTATTTGCATAGTTGGGGATGATTTTCAGTTCACTTTCATATTTGGATGAGCATTTGCAGTTGACCCCACTGGGTATGCTCATATATATGTTTGAACTGTGACAATTCAGCTGGATTTTTGGATATAGGGTCTGCCTCTCCACCTTAATTTCCGCCTCATTTGTATTCCACTTCTGCCATCTACTGCTCACAAATACTACTTAGCCCCATATCCACTTTTGAATCCCTCACTTCCCTTAATATCTTCTTAGATGAGATGAATACAGTCCAAAACAAACACTGCACAGTTGGTGTTCCTCCTTGTTCCACTGACTGGCATGAGCAAAACAGTTTCAACCTGGGAAAAGGTTCCTGGGACCCATCACTTCAGCTACATTCCCTAAATCTCTTCCCTGGATGCATTATCTCACAGCAGCACCAGGTGTCCCCTGCTCTTGCACCACACACCACAAATGTTCGAGTCCAAAGCTACCACGACTGTTGATAGATGGCCCCCTGAAGATTGTCTTGCCTCTTCTATGAGGAATATGACAAAGCACATACTGCTGCTTAAACAAGCAGGTTGCTATCTCACAGTCATACTCCATGCCAGTGACAGGAGAAGAGACTGTTTACAGAGCAGCATAGGGCCTGAAACATGAAAATCCTGGCAGAGCAACCCCATATCTCTTGTACCTTCTGAAGATCTCTTTAATGGTTTATCTGTGGATACTCAGGTTGGGTGGATTTCTAGTTTAACTGTAAATAACAGATTTTGTGATGGGTTAATTCCAGGAGGCAGCTAATCACTAAGCAGCTGATTTCTTCCCTCTCCCTGCACATTTTAGGGAGAGAATTAGAAGGGCAAAAGCAAGAGAACTCATGGGTTGATATGCAATTTAATAAGTGAAGGAAAGCAAAACAAGACAAAACAACAACAAAACCCCCAAAAGACACAAAGGCAATCACTCCCCACCAGTATACTGATGCCCAGCTAATCTCTGAGGAACAGCAACTTTGGAAAAATTCTTCCTGAGTTTTTTGCTGAGTATACTGTTATATGACTCGGAAGATCCCTGTGGCGAGTTAAGGCCAACTGTCCTGGCTGTGTCCCCTCCAAGCCTTTTGCCCACCCCCACCCTACTTACTGGGGGGCAGAATGAGAAGGCTTTGATGTTGTGGAAGCAGAGTTTAGCAATAGCTAAAACAAAGATGTATTAACAATGCTGTTTTTATGACCTGTCTATACCTCAGTGCCATATGGGCTGCTTTGATGAATATTAGCTCCACCTCAGCCAAACCAATACTGACAGTGTCCTTCCAATGGTTCTGATGTCTGGTTCTGATGGAGGTTTTACCTCCCATGGGAGCTAGAACTTACAGGTGATTTTTGGTGAGAGCTTAACAATACCTATGCCATTGAGCAGTTCCCGAGTGCTTGGAGAAGACATGATCCACACTGAAAGCTCACAGAGCTACTCTGAACGCTGTCTCTGATATGACAGAAGGAAAAGAACAGAAGAATCATTGCTTTCTCTCAAGTCCACCTGGTTTTGTCACCCTTCTGCTATTTAGAGCCCTGCCAGTTTTGTGATGACTGTATGCCAGACTCAGCCTCTCAAAGGGAGGGTGGATACTCTGATGTCCACCAGGTTTTCTTCTGGTATGTAGAGCTTATTGTTCTGCCAGTACTTTTACACAGCACATGCATTGAAATGAAGAGGCAGGCAGTAGGCAAAATCAGAAAGATAAAAATATAGTCCTCCTTCTGTGGTGCAAAGTAGTGTACAATGATGGCAGGACTGCTCAGAGCAGAAAACCATAGTCCAAAGTACAGATACTTTCACTTTGGGACTCTTTTTCTTTTTTTTTAAATTTATTTATTTATTTATTTATTTATGTTTTGTTAAGGTAACAAAAAGTATTACTGAAGTAAGCACACAGGTAAGTCCTTCCCACTAACCATCTGCCCTCAGCCTTGTCTTGGCCAAGGCTCTGCCCACACACCCTCATTGCTGGTTGTCATTCCACTTTGTTATTCAGAATTAGATTCATAAAGCTCACTGAGTAGTAGCAGGGTGTTAACAGTTATCTTAATCTGGTATGTTTTGATTGCCACGTACAGAAACTGAACGGGAGTCCCAGTAAAGTATGATTCTGCTGTGTAACCTGCAGTTAGAGAAAATGAAAGCAAAGATCCTGGAGAGGTAAAAAGACCTCCGGGTGGATGTCCTTATCCACCTCTGGGTAGATGTCCTTGCAGGTCTGACTGTTAAACTCAAATGCTTCTAAGATTGTTTTTATTTGCATTTTTTTCATTATTATGCTCATATGCTTCTAAGGATGTATGTTTGTGTGTTTTTATTTGCATTATTGTGTTATTATTCATACATATGTATGTAAATAGCTGTGTGTACTCATGCATATATATTCATATACAGAGTCATGTTTTAGCCCTTTTTAAATGTGAAGTTCACAGTATAAATCTAACAAACAAACAAAAGCAAAACCAACTGTTTTTTTCTTTCTATAGAAATGTAGATATCTTCTGAGAAAACTCCATTAAACCCAAACATATAGTGGATGTTCATTTTACGGTCAAATGCTCCAGCAACAGAATCTGCACTTAAACTAACACAAAATTTGCCATTGCAAATTGATTCCAGGAGGCAGCTTGTAAATGGGGATTGAGACCTAAGCCTCTGTGGCACAAGATCTGAACTTCCAGTCACATTTAAGTTTTGAATTCCTCCTTGCTTCCAGGCTTCCACCTGCTGATTCTCATCTCTTTCCAGTAAATCATTCATTCAAAAATGTCATGCAAAGGTAAGAATCAAAGCTCAGGACCTTTGTAGAGCTTAGGGATATGGTTTAGTGGGGACTGTTAGTGTTACATCAGAGGTTGGACTCGATGATCTTGAGGTCTCTTCCAACCTAGAAATTCTGTGATTCTGTAAAATCCCGAGGGATTTACAAAGTACAAACTTGGTTGATTCAAACCCCGCATCTATTTGTTGTCTGTGGTATTTGATCTAATTTTCCTTCTTATGCGTTCTTATTTCTTCTCCCTAACCTGTCTTTCTTAATTTCTTCCATATCTTTCCCTTTCCCTTTTCTATGGCTTCTATTTATGTCTTTTTTTTTTTTTTTTTTTCTGAATAAAATTGTTCAGTGTGATGCCGGAGTCAGTGTTATCAAATATACACCTTGGGTTTCAACTGTCAAATAAGCCAAGAGACTTCTGAGAAAACATACATGCCATGTGCCTGTACTCTCAAAACACACCTGCTTAGTAAAATAAATTAGGGGAATAGTACATCCAGTAGACACCATTTCTGTAATATGATCATGTTGTAGGATTGTCATGCTGATATCTGTTTCCTGGGAGACATTCACAGGGAGTTAGTTCCCTGTCACACTTATATTAATATTACTATGAAGATGTAAGGAACCTGGTGGGTAAAAAGTCGTTAATGAATGTATGCCCACCACTGTGTGCTCTTTGCACTATCTTCCTCCAAAATGCGTTTTTATGTTTTTATGTCAATGGTTATTTTTTCAAAACCCCATTTACTGGAGTGGGTGAGATATATTCAGACGCTGCCCATAGCTCAGCATTTTGCAAATCATCTTCACGTTTACCTCTAGCATTATCTTAAGCAACTTCTGTAAGGTGAAATAATTGAAAGTATGAGAAATTGGAAAAAAATATTTTGGTTATATTTAAGTAAATATGAGGTTTAGTCAGCATGTACCACAAAAATGTTGAAGAGCAGTATTGATGGTAAAACATGGCATGACCATAGCTGGCACTTCCACCTGGGAGGCCTCAGATGACAGAACACTGTGGTCCCCCCTGCACTGTTCACTGTAACTGCAACCATCATTTTTCATTGCTGTTATATACCTGGCACTGTTTGTTCAGAAGATCTGATGGGCCATATATGTAAAAATAGCTACTGTTTGTGTTTTATCTCAGCAAATACAATAAAATAATTTCTTGACACAGCAAAAAGGACAAACAACTGCAATAGAGAAACACCTCAAACAATGTATTTGTTGTTTCAATGTTATATATGCTAATAAACCCTCATGAAAAAGAGATGAGGTGACACAATATCCTTTTAATTTCCTTCTCTGTGGTAGATATTTACAAATATGCACTTGTAAATTGAGATGCCTTGTTTGACTTGCAAAAACGTGTCTTGATTAGTAGCAGTGCTTAGTAACAGTGTCACAGGAAACACAGAGAAAACAAACCCAGAAGAGCTGTTTTTCTTACCTGGGACTAGTGGTAATAAAGAGAGAAATTTCAGCCTTGCACAGTAAAAATAGCTCACCTGATGGTTTCAGCTTCTGGCAGGTGACCTTATCTACATACCCAGATTCACTTATGAATGGGGCTCACCCTCCTTTGCAGGGTGAAACTTCTTTCACCCAGTGAAGAAGTTTACTCGCGTCAGAGCAAGTCACTATGAGGAAACATTCAGCTAAGTGACGTTGCAGACATCCAAAGTCCAATCTGCAAGAATAGAAACTGAAATAAACACGAGACTAATAAAAGGATACCCGTCGCCCAAGAGGCTATAGACAGATACAGACATATCAATGGCAGCTGTTAGCAATAGAGGTAAGTACACCTATATGTAAAGTGGGCCTATTTCTACATATTCAGTGTAGATGCTTACTTTAGTTGTATCTAAGGTACTGGTGAGTACAGAAAACTGTGTGTGTTGGTAAAGGAGACACTTGTGGATCTTCTTGTGTGACCTCTTTCAATGTGTTACTCTGTCTTGAGTCTTAGGTTGAGCTTCAAAATACCAACGTCTCATTGTGTTAACCCTGATCTGTGTTAGACAAGAAGAATTTGAATCCACAAAGACCTCTCAGTGTGCAAAGACATCCCAAAGGCAATTATTAATGGAACAAATTATTATTATTATTTTTTTTTTTCACCTGTCTTGTTTCCAACTCAAGAACCACCTAGAAAATGCCTTTTAAAGAATTGATGCCACTAGGCTGTGTAAGGAGCTGACCAGGTCTCTGTTAATGAAGAACACTATCAGATTCATGCTGAAATGTAATTTGAATGCATGTGTTTCATAATTCCCCATCTCAAACAGCTAAGGTATATGGAAAAGTGCCTTTCATATCTTATTTGAAAGTAAATTAACTCTCTTTCCTCCAGTAAAATGAAGGTTCTGAAATTCTTAAGTTTGGCATGGATGGGCTTTTGCAGAAGAAACCCTAATCTGGGAAGGGCTGAGTGATTCATAGGGTCAAACTTCTTTGCTGCCATGAAAGTCAAAATGTATATATAAACAGATAGGTTGGTGGTACTACCCCATAGGTATTGGAAATCACCTGCCTGTCTGCAGTTTTTTTTCTTGGCACTGGTATTTTCCAGCTTTTGAGAAAGTCTCATACTAAGAAAAGAGATTGTCATGAGTACCAATGGGAAACTAGTTCATGTTTTGCCTAGCAGAACTGATTTGGAAAATAGAAAGTGAGAAGAGATCTGATTCTACTCTGATTTGTCAGACAAAAGCAGATGCAATACTGATGATATCACTGAAGTTAAAAATGGTTGATATCACAGTATACAATAATGTGTTAAAACATGCAAAGTTTCACATACAGAATAGTTTAAATGACCAAGTTTAGCTCCCAAGAAGAAATCCACCACTCCTGGATCCCAGAATGGGTGTACAGGTATAACTTATTAAGCCCTTTTATATAAAAGAGACAGGAGGTGTAGAGGAGATTTCATTTTCTGAACTGCTGTCCCCAGATGATTCACAAATCTTTTCTGCATAGGTCGTGCACCCAGACAGAACAACCAAAGGTAAGACATATTGTTCTATCTTATCAGGCTGCCTGGGCTCATGGAATTTTCCAGAGACAGACAAGACTACGAAGACTTGCAGCTTGTTTTCTTCTCACTGTTCCTTTCCCTCATCTTCCTTTTCAGTTGTCTCACTGCTTTGAACAGTGTTGATCTCAGCATGATGTTGGCCAGTCATGGCTCACCCTGCCAACATCTCTAAAGGAGGTGCTTCACCTTTCTCAGTGCTGTGGGTTTTTCACCAGAATCACTCTAGGGGAATCATTCTGGGGTCTTCCTCTCATTACAGATTTAGATCACTAGATTGTAGCATTTTTCAAGCTACTCCTTTGTGATGGAAAAGGCTGAGAATGGGAATAAGCATTGGCTGATGCTACACAGAGCGGGCAGTGCACAGTGTGACCAAACATCACTGAAATATTGGGGTCATAGAGGCACTGCTGATACTTTATTTCAGGTGGAAGATGCAGCCAGATGACTTCAAATCAAACTATTTGCCTTCCCAACACCCAAAGGTCGTGTACTTGATGTATGCAATCAAGTGGCGCAGAGGTACCATCTGGAGGGGTTGGTGCTCAAACAATCCTACCCAACATGCTGAAGTCAACTTCTTGGAAAATTGCTTCAAGCCCTTGTCATCAGCTTCTTGCTCTATCACCTGGGTCTTATCTACTACCCCCTGTGGGAAGTGCTCCAAAAGAATTCTGGAGTTCCTGAGGATACACCCCAATGTAACCCTGAAAATATTCGCAGCCAAGATTTTCAAACATCTGGATATTCGTAATCGGCAAGGTCTCAGGAACCTGACAGAGAAAGGAGTCATCATACGTATTATGAGTCCTGCAGGTAACCCAACTACTCTTCATCTTTGTCTGGGTGTAGACCAAAACCTATGGGATTATATCCACTACCAGCAGTTGTACTTTGTAGTAGTATGGATGACTGGTATTGGAAAAGACTGGTGAGTGCCCATATGCTGCTTTCTTCTGCCTTATTTCTTTCCCAATCCCAAACAGCTGTAGGACCAGCATGGTCATTTCCTCTTGCCAAACATGAACTAGGAAAGTTATGTCATTCTCTAGCCATCCATGTCTTCATTATATACAGTGTGAAACCCTCGCAGGAATAATTTTCCTGTCTGTTTTAGCATATATATGCACATCAGTTTACTAACTGCACCTAGTAAAGAGATTCTCTGGGATAGAGAATCTGGGAAAGAGATAGCTGGAGAAGAGGAGACCCATCTAAAGGAGACTCAGATTATGCATCACATACTACAAATGTGCCTTTTGCACCTGTGTTTTTTGTATATCTTGCTTGACTCTTGATGTTTGATAAAAAAAAAAAAATGTCTAGACAAGTAGCTCACAGAAAGGAAAGTACATTTGAAAAGATGAATTCCACATACATGTCTGGGTAGTTATTACTGTAGTGTGCAGCTACAAAACCTACCAAGTCAAACGTAAACTTTAAGGACATTGTTTATCTTTGGGAACCTGTCCCTGGAATTATGCCACCAGAGCACTGAAAGAAGCTCTGGCTATCCTGTCAACACTAAGATAAATAGGAAACTGTTAATCTTGATAAATGTTAGGGCGTTCATATCAGGTTTTCCCTGACCATAAAGATAAGTCAGACAGACTTATGAATGAAGCAATAAGTTTATTATCTGAATCTTCCGTGATCAAGATCCAGGTTGCCAAAAGGTGTGCCTGAAAAATCCAGATTACACATGCCACTTTCCTTTGCAGTTGTTCCCTGCAGCCTGTCTTTCACAGATTCTTTCTCTCCTGGCCGAGGTTCTCTGGCCTTATGCCCTTATGTGGTATCTGTGGTATGGGTTGCCTAAGCCACTTTAGTGATTTCTGTCTGGTAATTCCCCTTTTTGGACATGTTGCTATTTCAATAGTTTTGGTTCCCCTTTCCACTAACTTATTTGTGTAGTTGCAGGTCATTGTTGGGCCCTTGCATGAATGCCTGCAGATGAATATCTTTCCCTTGTCCTTTACCGTTGCCTTACTGAGAAAACATTGACTCACTGATATTTCTGAAGAAAGAACTAGGCTGGAAAGACCTGGCTGGCAGCTAAGCACCACACAGCTCTTTGCTCACCCTCCCCCCTCCCTCTCTGGGTTGGGGGAGAGAGCCAGAAAGAAATGAAAGCCTGTGGGTTGATATAAAAACAGTATATCAGGATGGAGAAGAAAGGAAAATAATAATAATAATGATAATAATAATAGCACTACTATTAATAATGTGTATGAAACAAGTGATGCACGATGCAGTTGCTCACCACCCGCTGACTGATGCCCAACCTAACCCCAAGCAGCTGCCCCCCCCACCCCGGCTAGCCACCCCTATATATTGTTTAGCATGACCCCATATGGTACAGAATACCCCTTTGGCCAGTTTGGGTCAGTGGTCCTGGGTCTGTCCCCTCCCAGCTCCTGCTGCACCCCCAGCCTGCCCGCTGGCAGGACAGAGGGAGAAGCTGAAAAGTCCTTGGCTTGGTGTAAGCACTGCTCTGCAACAATTAAAACATTAGTGTGTTATCAGCACTCTTCTCATCCTAAATCCCAAACAGAGCACCCTACCAGCTACTAGGAGGAAAATTAACTAAATTAACATCCTAGCCAAAACCAGGACTGCATGTCTTTCAGCAGGAGTGACTGTATATTTATTTTCTCAGATTACAGTTCCAGCTGGAAAAGATTTGTTGCATACCAACATGGAGAAGAAGATTATTGGCCCTGGAATTTCATTCTGCACATCCTTCTGAACTGCATAGAGCTACACCGTATCATTTTGGTTAGTAGCCACTTTAAAGAAAAGGCTGAGAGCTAAAATAATGCAAAGTCCTAGACAAATGAACTTTGCAGAATCCTGGCAATGGTGTTAGCAGAAACTATAGTAGGAAAAATTGGCATGGATTTGGTGCTGCATAAAAAAAAGGCCAAGTGGCAAGAGATTGCCAAGGACTTTGCTGATACATTGTGCCTTTGTTTATGACCAGGAATAGAGAAGGGAGTTAGAAACACTCACAGTTTGATACTAAGGAAAGGGTAAATTATTTCAACTTTTTATATGGATCAATTAGAATATGTTCTCTTGCAGCTTACTGGATCTACTTGATACTAAAAGCTCATTCATCTGTGTAAACATGATTCAAGTACACTCTTCTAGTCCCTCAGGATAAGTCTACTGATTTCAATGAAGTTCTGAGTGTGTCCAAAAGCCCAGCTGTGTGGATTCACTTTCAGAGCTTACATATAAGATTATCATACGACTGCGATCTGCATTCCCTACTAGCTGTTTCATAACTACAGAAGTTGTTTGCACAGTCTGATATCCCACTACACAAGAGAGAGTATCTGGTCAACTGAACAGGAGAGAAGAGCAGGACTGGAGATAAACTCCCAGCTCAGCCATCCTTTATGGGACAAGCTAGTTCTTGTTTGAACTGTTCCCTGTATGTAAAATGGGGGTAACTGAATGGACAGCAAAAGACAGAGGAAGAGATGCACGGAACTGCATAATATAGACAGGGACTTGAAGTGTAGGAGGAGGAAAATTAACCTGTTTATAAGTTGCTATAAATGTATTTTTTATTTCTGAACAAGGAAAAGTTAAACATTGGACTCCATTTCAGTTCCATCCACCCCAAAATTTACATGGGTCACTGAATATCTCAGGACCCATCCTTCTCAATTCTAACTGTATGACTAAGAAGTTCAGGTAACAGGGGATGCTGTCAATGGCATTGTCCAGTCAGTCAGCTAACCTAACAAAGTAGTTAATGCAATGTAACTGTTTAGGAGATACTTTCCTTTGGCTTTGAGCTTTCCTCAGTCTCCTAATGCCTGAGATTAAATAGTTTAGCAGATCATACACAGTTAAACGCATAGTATGTTGCTTACCAGAGATATGAACAGAGCTGTCTGCTACATCCCTGCAAGTAACTGGAAAAAACAGCAGATTCAGCAGTTCTCTAGGCAGCTGTACAAGCTGAATATGGCCTTCAGGTCTCAGGTCTTAGTTTCAAAGAACCAGCTAATGAATGACCTGGCTCTCCCTGCGCCCCTGGCTACCATGCTGGTTACTGAGGAGCCCTGCTGGCTGGGAAGCTTGCACTAGGATACTTAAGCTAAAAGTAAAGCACTTGCTCAGCTGCTTTGCTCATTCAGACAAACTCAAGCCAGCCATGAAATCAAGGTGAATGGGATCCATTACCAGTAACTCTGACTAACCAGCAACTCCCTACAGAAAGAACAGGAAGTTGTATATGGTCAGTGCTTGTGAACGCCCAGCCACATTATACTAACTGTGCTGACAGTTCAGGTATGTCTCATTGACCATTGCCAGCTCACGCTATCCTTGGGGCAGAGAAAAACTACCTGAGCACAGAGATGTTATGAGGAGAGTGAGTTCCAGACATGCTCCTGACAAATACACTGACTCTTGTGTCAAGTTCTGGGCTTCCTAACAAGGGCACTTAGAAACCAGAGAGGGTTCAGAGGAGTATCATCACTGTAACAGCCAGGGGACTGAAGCACTCGCCCTACAAGGAGAGTGCATTTATATACATGTATTTATAAATATACGATATGTATTTCCTAGAATATATCTACAAGGAAATGTTTTTGTTCCACCTCAAGAAGGTTAAATGGGATCTTATTGCAGTTTTCCACTACATAAAGGCAAAAACGACAGAGTCAGACTCTCCTTAAATCTTCACAGATGGAAAATGAGGCAACAGGTGTGAGCTTCAGCAAGGGAAAGTCCAACCAGACAGAAGGAAAAAGCCTCCTGGTGACAGTGGTACTGTACTGGTAACAGGTGCTGAGAGAGGATGTCAGATATTCATCCACTGAGACACTGACAACTTTCCTGGGAAAGGTTCTCAGCTGCCTGACTTGGAGTTATGGGACCTCTAGGGGACCTTCCTAAGTCAAATAATTCTGTTTTTCTACTGGATCTGCCCCCACTTCCCTTGGTTTCAGCTAAGCAATCTGTTACCTTCTAAATGCTTCTTTTTCTGAGTAGGAGGCCTTTTTAGGAGGGGTTTATACTGCACATCAATTCTGGGGTGTTATGCTGTTGTGTGGAAAGCTGTGTCCCAAGGTAGATTCTCTGACATTGTGATGGCGGATCAGAGTGAACTCTTGGAACTGATGCTGTATTTTCAAACTCCATATCATGTTGAAGAGACTAAAGCTTTTGGCATCTAGCTGTTAATATTTGCATTTCTGTCCTCTTTTAGGGGCTTCCTCCAGTATTAAACCTTGAATACTAGCACCAGCAGCATGCTTACAAGTTCACTTTGTGCACCACAGCACTACCTACAACACTGGAAAAGCCGATTCTTGGCTGTCTTACTACAGTTTTGAATGATGAAGTTTCATACTGTCACTATAAAAGGCCTTTACACCCAGAAGGCTGGGCATTGCTAAATATTGCTAAATATTGGACAGAGCAGAAGGAGCATTTCCTGTGGACAAGAAATTATTGGGAAGTTCAGATGATGCGACCAGGCAACAAGGTTACAGTGCTCTGCATCTTTAGAGTCCAGTGTGGATGGGAATCATACCCCAGGATGAAGTCTTTCAGGTCTGCTGATTCTGCAGTCAGATTCTATGAATACTATCTTGAGAGGCCAGCAAATAATATTTTTTTCATGATCATTTGTTCTATAGATTTAATCAGAGCAGAGCATTGTTTTTGAGAATTTCTTATGAAGGTCACTTCCATGACTGTGTGTGTAAATTTCAGAAAATACCTCATGATATAACGTTACAATTTTTCTTATATTATGATTATATTACTGCTTTTATTACAATATAATACAATTATATTACAAAGTATTTTATATATATATATATATATTTATGTATTTATTCTCCCTATGTAGAAACAACAGAATAAACGGAAAATGTCAACTCAAGAAATTTTGTCTTTCTCATTCAGCTCCTGTTCACAAATTCTTTCACATTCTGGAGTCCTAGGTGTTCATTGCAAACTGGGAGAACATGTGGAGAACTGTAAAAAGTCTCTGACTTTCCAAAAGAAAGCACTGAGTGGAATGGTGAGGTAGGAGATATAGAAAGATCTAAGCTATCTCTAAGGGCAGGAGACAAAAAGAAGATGCAGACGTGTTAGGCATTTCTGTAGTTTGTAGTTTGCAGTTTGCACTGGAAATAATGAAAGACATCTGAGTGAACCATGCTGGGAGACCCAGTTCCAGTGCCTTCAAGCAGTTGATTCGTGTTGTCCCACTAGGCTACTAGGGAATGTGCTACCACTTGGGCCTGCAAGCTGACAGGCACAAATGATTATCTGAAGCATAAGGCAAGGGCTGTGGGGAGCCATGCCTCTCTCTTCTACTTGATTAATGACATCTTTTATCCCTGCCAAGGTCTCTAGATATCTAGCAGACAGTTAAGAGAACCAGAAAAGTTGCAGCCTGAAGGGGGATTTCCAGACTCTGTTATCTGAGGGCAAATCTGAAATTGAGCACAGCTGGCTGATGAGTATCTCGTACACTAACAAAATAAAGTTACTCCAAGTGATGCACAGCGGAGCTGAAGTTTTCTTCCCCCCGTCCAGGTCCTCAGGGGGGATATCATACGTCTTCTGGCCATTCTGGTGTTAACCATTTCCTTGGGGAGAAATCAGATCAGTTAATCATTATGTATTTGAGTATACTGAAGTCCATAACAACTCTTCAACAAAACTTGTAATTTACTGAGCTGTTGCGGCATATGGCAACTAACTTTGAGACTCATCATCATATATACCTTCATTATGCTACAGATGTTAGCTGAGCCCCATCCAAGAATCTAGAAGGTTCGATGGCATAAAACTACACAACGTATAGCATGCATGGCCAGCACAAAATGGAACCCTTTCATTAACAAGTTTTAAGAAAATCTGCAGCACCTAAATGAAGACTCATCCATATCTCTTGCCATAATTACTGAAGTATCATGAAAGTCCTGCTCACAGCTTAGGGAGGGCTTTTGAACAGAGAGGGCTTTACCCACAGCAGTATGGAAATTCCATACACATTGCCAGTTCACATGACAATCTAAAAATGCTGGCAGGTGTCATTATTTTTTGGTACCTCAGAATAAATATGCAGTCAGACTTTGATGTAGAAAAGGTCGGAGATCGGTGTACTTATAACCCCAGTTCTCTGGAGACAGAAGGCAGACTGAATGCCCCAAATCCTTGGAGAAGGATGATGATGTTGCCTGGAGATTAAATGAGACCTGAATTTGAATTAAGACGAGAAAACAGGTTGATGGTAGAGAATTAGTTTGCAAAGACCCAAGAAAGAGACCAGGGGCCTTCTGTAAACAGCACTAACTGAAGGAGATTAGATGGTCCAGAAGCAAGGGCTATGTCACTGAATCATGGTATCACAGGAAGGCTGAATTTAGATGGGATCTCTGGAGGTCATCTGGTCCAACCCTTTGTTCAAGCAGGTGCACCAACAGCCAGCCTCCCAGGGCCACGTCCAGGTGGCTTTTGAATGTCTCCAGGGAGACTCCACAGCCTTTATGGGCAACCTGCATCTGTGCTCAGTCACACTCCTAGTAAAAAAAAAAAAAGTTTTTCCTAATGTTCAGAGGGAACTTTCTTTGTATAAGTTTGTGCCTATTGCTTCTTGTCCTGTTGCTGACCAGCATTGAATAAAACCAGGATCCATCTTCTTTGCACTTTCCCTTCAGGTATTTATATACATTAATAAGATCCATTGAGGCTCTAGTTTTCAAAATCCTTCCTTGGATGGCTAGATAATGTTTCTCTATTCCTCCCGGGTTGCCTGTCCTTGCTTCCAACCTCTGCATGCTTCCTTTTTGTGTTTGAGTTAGGCCAGGAACAACTTGTTCATCCATGCAGGCCTCCTGGCATTTTTGCCTGACTTCCCATTTGCTGTGATGCACTGTTCTTGATCTGGAAGGAGGTGATCCTTGAATAATTAACCAGCTTTCTTGGGCTCCTCTTCCTTCCAGAATCTTATCACATGGGACTTTTCCAAGCAGATATTTGAAGAGGCTGACATCTGCTCTCCTGAAGATCAAGGTTATGAGCTTGCTTTTTACCCTCTTCTCTGCCCTCAGGATCCTGAATTTCACCATCTCATGGTTACTGCAGCCAAGGCTGCCTTTGACCTTCATATTACCAACAAGGTCTTAATTCCTGGTGAATATGAGGCCCAGCAGAACACCTCTCTTTGTTGGTTTCTCTATTACTTGGATGAGAAAGGTATCATCAATGCATTCTAGTAACCTCCTGGACTGCTTATGTTGCTGTGTTTTCCCTCCAATCACATCATTCTGCATACCCTGTAGTCCAGTAAGGCATATATCAGCCCAAAGTTGATCCTAATCCTGTAACAGCAACAGGGTGTGGTTTTACTCAACTTGGTAGCCGAACTCCACCACAGCTGCTCTCTCGCTCCCCCTCCTCAAAGTGAAAGGGGGAGAAAAATAGGATGAAAAGAGCTCAAGGGTTGAGATAAGGATGGAGAGATCACTCAACTACTATCATGATGGGCAAAACAAACTCAGCATAAGAAGATTAGATAAATTTATTACCTATTGCTAACAAGCTAGCGAAGTGAGAAACAAAAATAACAAACTAAAAGTGAAGAGAATTAACTCTATCCCAGCCAGTGAATTAACTCTAACCAGGACAGTGAAGAATGTCTTGGGTATTAATAACAGTAGGTCAGCACTAGCAAGGATATGAGATGGCTATGCAACATGATGAGTTCTGGACACACACCCTGGAAGCTCTTGGGCCCTCTCTTATTCCACCATGATGCCTCAGAGCAATATTAGCTAGTGTTCATTAGTTCCTTGGATGTTTTTAGGGAGCAGTATGTGCCTGTTTAGGGATATCCTACTTAATGTCCCTTTTCAGCTCTCTATAGATGAATTTTTGCCTCTCTGACTGTTACTCCCTTAAAAATATGCTTTCATCTGTTGTCCCCTCTAATTATCTGTTTTTCTGCCCAACTGCTTGTTTGTCCCTCCTTCTCACAGAGTCTAATCTAGTCTTGCTAGGAGAAGTCCCAAAAGAGAAGTCCAGCAACAAAGGTTCCTGAAAGTGAAATCCTAGGGAAGAACAAAGTAAGAAGATGAAATACTTCTAGCCCGACACAGTCCCAGGCTCCAGCTCTTTTCAAATCCTCCTAGGCCAAATGTGGTTTCTGACTATTCAATAGCCCATTCTGAAGTGTAAGCAGCTACACTGCTGAGCTCAGAGAAGAAATGAAGAGGGATCTTGGAGCCAAGAGAGATCTTGGAGCAGAAACGGCACTTTATGGAGGCTGTAACAAATCCAGCTGGAATGTTACAGGGCCCTGCAGCCCTGCACCAGTACAAGTAGTCAGAGGGGTGGGCCAGAGACATGACCTAGTTCATTAGGCAAGAACTTCTCAGTGGTGATGGTCCCATAATAAGTAGGACTATTGCTAAGGGAGCAAGAGAACACATGATGGAAGCAGAAATGATGAACAGGGCAGTGTGAGAGATGGTGACATGCTGCAAGTGGAACCTGGATTTCAAAATAAATATTGTCATGGGCTGGCACCTCAGCCTCCCTGAAACACAGTTGGCTGGGGGTTGTCTCTTGCTACAGCTCAGCACCAGGGTGCAATGAGGCAGAGTTCTCTGTCTTTCCCATCTATGTGATGGATGTTCTGACAATGTTAGTGTCAGCTACTGTCACAGTTCTGCCACTGCTGGTGTCACCTCTGGGTATTACCATGTCATTCAGATGCACAGAAGTGCCTGGATTAACAGTAGTGAATAGCCTTTTTAATTTTTTTTAAAAGTATATATATTTCAAATTAATTAGCCAGAGTGCATAGTTCTTTATAAAATGTGCTGCCTTTCCCACTAAAGGCAGGAGGGCAAACTTTCTCTGGTCCAATTGGAAACAACTGTTGGAGTTACCTACCGTATCACTGCTCTGCTCTTATTGTCATGTTAGGGCCTAGGGCTGGGTCTACCACACTGATAGATATAAACACAAACGACATCTGATCTAATCTCATCTTCTGTCACTTTGGACTAATAAAAACAGTGTTCCAGCTTATAGAGTAAGCTGATTCCAAACTGTGATTAATGACAAGGTTACAGCACAGAGACATCAGCATCCTCCCTGCCCTGGAACTTTGGTGCCACCTGCCTTAACCAGTGTGAGGAGACAGGCCCCTGTTAGACAGGAATATGACCTCTCCCCAGGTACTATTAACTCCAGACCTTCAAAAGCCACATCAGTGACAATAAGAGCAACAACACTGGTGTTTTAGCTATACCTGAAGCCTGAAGGAAAACTTGCCAGTCACAGAAGTGCATGACAGATTTCAAAGTCAAATGCAGCCTTCAAAATACTTGCCATACTTTGGCTTCTCCCCATCTACTCTGGCTCTTGCAGCAACCTACTTTCTCCTTCCCCTTCAGAAGCTTGCTTATCCCTACCAGAGTTGTCAAGACAAATGATATCTTCCATGCCAAGCCCCTCAGCATTTATTCTGTGAACCAAATCTGATTTCCATCACCATGAGTATTTATTACATATGTGATTAAATAACAACATTTTTGCCCACAGAAATACTGCAGGGCCAGCACCAGGGAGGGAAGAAAAAATTACTTGACCTCAGGAACAATGATGGACATGAATACATCTAGGCTAAAAACCCTTGACAGGGCAAGTATCAGGGGACTGAACTCCCTGAAGCCCCTTTCTGTCCTGGTTTTCATGTACTAGCATGCAGGAGACACAGAGAGCAAGCAGCAGGGAGACATGCTTTGGAACCCCCTCTCGCATTTATAAGGGCCTGAAGCATGTCTTTGTATTGTTTAATGGAAATCTGTTTCTTATTATTGCAAAGTGATGTCCAAGGACTCTATGTGCTGACCCAGAGTAATGCTGTGTGCAGCTGTGGGTATGATGTAAATGTCCTGCTTATAAATGGACGTTTTATTTTTTTATTTTTTTTAAGAGCCTGAGTACAGCAGCCATTTGCAGAGAGAAACAATATCCCTCGAGCCAACACCCTTCTACAGTGTGCCACATACTCCCGTGCACCAGGAGATGGCAGCCATGCCCATACTTACGCACTGCACAAATAACCGTCCATCCCATCCCCGATTTGTCCTCTTTCCTACATTATCAAAGACCAAGCCGGTATCTGTCTGCAGAGCGGGAGCTTTCACAGAGTGGGTGGTCTCTGCATCACAGCTGCTTGGGTGATAAAGCAAATGTCAGTTGTTGTAAGTCTATATGCGTCCCAAGTGTCTGATTGCCAAAAGGTCCCTCAGGTATCTGTGTGAACGGAAACACAAGCTCAACATTCAGTGACTACGAGGGAGCTGTCCCCAGCATGTGGGCAGCACCCTGGGCCTTGTGAAGAATGGAAAAAGCACCCAAAACTTTTTAAATCCAGTCATGGGGAGTTTTCTGAAGGGCAGCCCTGGTGAGAGCTCACGAATCTGCCAGATTTGCTGTGAAATCTTTAGGATTCTGGCATTAATTTTATCTTTAGTTATTATGATGAGAGTAACAAGAGATGGACACACTCATGAAAGCATGGTTTAGGGCAGCAGCATACAGTTACTCAGATGCAGCCTGTGACTTACTCATCATTGCAAACTGTGAGAAGCTGGACCAACCAATAACACAGACCCTTGCTCTACATGGTGCCCAGTCTCCGAAAGAAAACTCATCCCAGAAATCACAAACATGTCTCCTGTTTCCCACAACTCAGGCAATGGTGTCTGAGGTATAATCCCCACGATCCCCCTGAGGGTATAGCTTTTTCCTGGGTGAATACCAATGAGGAAGAGACCTAGAATAGCATAGCGACTATCTCCATAAGGGATATGCTATAAACACAATGATACGCGACAGTGTATAAGCAGTAGTGAAATGTTCCCTGTATACACAGTCAAAAGAGCAAGTAAAAACTTCTTAGGCTGAAAAAAGTAATGTTACATTAACGTCATCCTCCAGGGAGTCATTCTTGGCAGACACACCTAATTCATTTGAGGTTGAATTAATTTATAATGCTAGTTCAAGGAATATTTTTTTTTCTTAGCAAGTAATATGAATTAGTATATAAAAACTGAAAAAATGCAGTTCAATATATATATGTGTGTTGCAGGAGAGCTAAATTCTTATAAATAAACTACATGGATTAGCTAAACAGTCTACTCCTTATTTAATCTGCCTTAGGTTCAGAAGAATCAGTTTGGGATGCGGTACATGTTTCTTTGCATTTACTCATTGCGTTTATCCTCTTGTTGTGTAATGTCACTAATTTCCTTACTTCAACATTCAAATTTATGGAATGTATTTTCTGTCAAAGTTTTTTGACAGAATTTAAACAAAAACAGTGTCTCAACTGCTCCTTTAGAAAATGTTACTTTTCCTAGTACCTCCACAACAATTTCATTCAGAAGGACAAGGGTATTGTATGAGCCAACAACAGAAGCTGGAAGACAGAAATCCTTTTCACGCTTCTGCTTCTCCTCTTGGTTTGTAATGTATGTTGATTCAGTACTTCTGTGTCCAGTTTGGTCAATCATGAGTCAAGAATGCAGAGGATCAATGGATGAAGTATCTTTAATAACCTTAGCATTTACATCAGTGATTTTTGGTAGTATTTCCAAAGTACCTATTGCCTGAACTCTTTGTGACCTTGATTGCTTGTTGACACTGTCAAGAGTTTCAAAATTACAAGTGAAAAGGATAAACAGTCTGATATGATAGTGCCAGTTTCTCTCTGCAGAAATCATGAGGGATAAATTACTTGTGAATTCTTTGTGTCAATTTCTGCTTTCCACGCCCATGTGGTACCAAAATGATGACAAAAACAAATTCTCTTTTGTAAAACCTTTACTTATATAAATAATATGCACCATATCAGACAAATATACAAGACGATGTTTGCAAATTAATGCTTTGCAAAGAGCTCTCACTGCTATTCCTGGTCCAAATTCCTCAAGATGAGAGTGCCTCAGGAGCCTGAAGTTTTACGAAGTTTGTGCTGCACTGAGCTCTGACCTCTCAGAGCAAGAGGCTCTGTGGGTGAAGAGCTGTGCACTGCCCTCCTGCTGGCCCATTACCAGAGGAGGCACTGGGAAGAGTGACAGGGGAACCTGAAGCCATACAGAGAAAGAGGAACAGGGTTGGAACAGAGAACTCACAGCCATAATGAAGGAAATGGCAGAGCACCTCCAGAGCATGGGACCACACTGTTAGCCCTAATAAAGCTTGAAGAGGTTGGACTGCAGAGGGTGATCCATCTGCAAGTTAGGTAGTGGGAAGGTTGGAGATGAGTTGCTGTGTACGATGAACCAACATCTTCAGCTTAGTAAGGATTATGTCTCCAGCACCAGGTGCTAACGGGGTCCCATTACGGAAACACAGTGATTGTCAGACAGGAGAATGGATTGATTTTGCCCCCTACTAAAGGTTTCTACAGGCTGTACGGCTTTGCTCATAACTTTTTTATTTCTTTTTTCTTTCTTTTTTTTTTTTTTTTCTGGTCAGCTCTCTGTCCTATCACTGACTAGCCATATATAGCTGTATTATGGGCAATAAAAAGCCTGTAAAGACAGAGGACTGTAGGAGTGTTAAGGTGCCTCCAGCGGAGGACAGCTGGCTGGGGAGAGAGCACAGTGCAGGTCTGATCTAGGAAGAGTTGCTCAGTGGATGGAAAGAATTCCAGTAGTGAGACCTGTGGTGCTCCTCCCTGCAGTATGTCAAGAAACAGATAGTGCCTGATGTAGACACCAACACACCATCCAAAATACTATGGCCTAACAAGAATGAGAAATTAAGTTTTGAGGGACTATGCAATGTGGAAATGGTTTGCTTTCTGGTAGATATATGATGGAAAAACATTGCTATGGTGAAGTGCCTTGGAGGCTTCTTTCCTGGCTGCATGAGAGGTCCACACACTGATCAGTCCTGACACAGAGCTGTCATGGCTCTCAATGTAGTCAATAGGCATTGAGTGGATGGTCTTACGATTTCTGCATGGAATATGTCTCACTGGCCATCCAGAATTGTAGCTGACACTTGAAAATTTTGGCTAGCAAATCTTTTGCTTTCATTTTAAGTTTTTATTGTCTAGTTTCAACATGTCATAGGACACAAAACCTGAATCCACAGCTACTGAAGTTCCGTGCTTTCTGGGCAGGAGGCATTACAGGGACCAGGCCTGCACACAGTCTATTTACAAGATCAGCTGACTTCAACCAAGGTTTTCAAGCTGAGCTGCCTGAGCTGTCCAGGACTTGGTTCAATACCCTCAGTGGGTCTTTCCAATAACTGGCCAATTTGGCTGTTTGGGTGTAGGCTTTACCACTTACATGCTGATGGTTTTCACATTCCTATCCACATCCAGAAGGATAAATAAACTACTTCACAAGGGAGGACATACAGAGCAGCTCAGTGTAGTGCACCTCTAAGGAGCAAAAGACTTGCTCTCCAAAGCCCTGGTGACTTTTGCACATCAGTGTGATGTCAGTGAACACAGCCACATGAAGAGCACTGCAGCCAAACCCAAAACTCAATGTATCAGGCCACCTGAATTAGCTCTAAAGGGACCGAGGAAAGGCAAATAACCCCTGGCAATGTCACTGCAGTCCCGGCTATTCCCAGCTAGCAATGGATTGTGTGAATCTCAGGGAATGTGTCTTCAGAAGATCAGCCTAATTTTCCTTCGAAATGAAAAAGTAAGGATAGTCTTATCTCTGGACACAGGGTTGGAAGAAAGAGAGATGGAAAGAGGGAAGAAGAGAAAGACATGTGAAGGAAGAGTTGAAAATCAAAGAACGAGTGTTGAAGTCTTCTGATTGTTGATGAGTTTCGCTTCAAAGTCCCAGAGTTTTAAAGGCATCTCGTAAATCATCTACTTCATACAATGGCTGTAGAACAAAATATAAGCGGTAGATCAGTTATCAAGTGAGCAAAAGCCCATAAAAATGAGGAAGGAGAAAAGAATGGCATGAGATGGGTTGAGAGGTGGAAGAAGGGAAGAGAATGATGAGAGGGGATATGAAGGAAGGTGGGAGAAAGAGGTATGAGGGACGTGAAGAGTGAAGACACAGGGAGGAGTGAAATGACAAATGGCACAGCTGGACTTCAAGAGCAGAGCAGAACTACAGCAAGGAAGAGAGGAAGAAGCTGAGGGGAAGAGGCACTGGAAGGAGAAGAATTGGTCCTCACCAGGAGAATCCGTCGGAGTTTCCTGGACAGATGGACAGAGTTTTCATGCAGTCCCTCCCAGGCTTTGAATGTCTTTTCCCTGTTCTCCACAAATGTGTTCCAGCAGTAGAAGTAATCTGCACAAGGCACAGGGGAGTTTATGAGTGCTCAGGACTGCCCCAGAGAAGACACTGACCTTTCCTAGGTTCAGTAAATCATCATATCCTGCCATCACCTTCCCTTCTCCATAGCTTTCAGTCATCTTCTTTCACCCTGCCTGCCTTACCTTTGAAGGTCATGATGGCGATTTGGGCCCCAGCCCGATGCAGACGCCGTAGCCCCTCGGGCTCTGCCTTGCGGTCCTCACAGAAGTAGAGGCGGGCGGTGAAGATGCGCAGGGTCAGGTTGGGGTAGGCACGCAGGAAGTCAGCCACGTGTCGGGCACAGTCGTAACAGGGGCTCCAGGAGGTGAACCAGGTGATGCGGTAGCAGCGGCCTGGGTCCAGGTCCCAGGCTGAGATGTAGCGTAGGAAGAGAACCTCCACGTGGCAGCCCATCTTAGGGAAAGAGGGAGAGGGGCAAAGTGTGAGGCAGGGGTGAAGGAAGCTACAAGAGGGGCAAGGAAGAAGGCGTGAGCTGAGTGGGATGTGGGGGGAGGATGGACAAGGTGGGGGACAGGTCTTATGGTCAGTGCACAGAGGAAGAGGGCACAGTGGTAATGGAGTGAAAGGATGGCTAGAAAAATGCAGGGACACTCTACAAGAGGCTCCTGTGGGAGCTAGGAAGGAAAACTGAGGTACTGATAAAGCAGCAAGGACTGTAAATATCTTGCTAGCAATACAGTCTGAGCTAGCGCGAGTTACAGATTTATCTGGAGGCTGCATCCCCCAAATGTTATGTACCGGTACAGTGCCTATTCCTGTGGACACGTGTCAGATCAGGTGCTGCCTCTTGCAGCCCTTATTTCCCTGCTACCCCAGGCGAATGAGCTGCATGTACCTCAGCATGGATATAAGAGTAGGATGCCAAGGTGTTCCCTGTACCTTGTTACGCAGGTACCCAAAGTCCAGGGAGCATGACGTGGCACTGTCACGGCGCTTCACAACGTAGCAGAGGTAGGTTTCACGACGGCCCTTGGCCCAGCGCAGGTTCTTGAAGTTGTAGAGGAAAAGTTTCCTCTTCATCAGGAGACTGTAGGAGAAGGCAAGAGACATTTTACATTAGCCCCACGCTGGAGCCAGCTATTGGCCATGTCTATGTCAGGCGCTCAGCAACAAAAATATCCCCACCGAGTCCAGGCCCCTCAGTGAGAGAAAAACATCAGTAATTTGCATGCAATATGTTAGGGAAAGGGTGTAGACGTGACTGTGGGGATGAAGCAGGTGACCTAGCAAGTGGAAACAGTAAGTGAATTAGTAATGCTTAGTCAAACAGCAACCATGGCTAAGTGTAGTGTGAAAGTATCTGCAAATATCCAAAAGATGGACACCAGTGAGAGCAAAGGATGAAAGTGTCTGAGAAGAGTTGATCTTGGAAGCTGGGAAGGTCTGGAGTTCAGTCATCCAGATATATTCTTTTGCTGTTGAAACCCTGAAAACCGTTGGGTGAAAGGAAGGATCAAATTGGAGCCTCTTTAGAGAAAAATGGACAGAGTTTCTTTCCAGCGTTGCCCAAAGGAAGAACATGCCTGAAAGTGTACAGGGCTAGAGATAAGAAGCTAGGATAGGGTAACATGTCCTAGCTGACAGAAATAAAAGTAGGGTAGGGATGCTGACACATCTCCAGAGGCAAGTACCATTCCCATGTGAGGCAAGCACAGAGATTGGCAAAGGATGGTTCCCATGCTAGAGATCCTGCTGGGGAGAGGTAATAGGAGCATGGGGAGGGTAAAATAGTCATGAACCTTATCAAAATGCCTTACTGCCAAGTGGAGGTACATAGGCAGCTGAGAACAGCTGTGTTCACTGAGGTAAGATATTCACCTCCCCCGCAGCAACGTAAAACAGAAGTGAACGGGTTAAAAATAATCACATCCTTTGTCACCTTTTCCCTCTGGTAGGCTGGTGTTCAGCAGGGAGGTAGGGTCAGTGTAAGTGATACAGAGCTGAGTTTTCTCGAGGTCTCCAGTGAGGTGTGGAAAAGGGGAATTTAGGTTTGCTAGGAATTTCCTGGTTTATATCTGAGAGTATAAGCAAGGCAAAATCCTTATATAAACATGCTCCATCTATTCCCAATTGTCACCACAAAACCTGAGCACAACAGAGTGGTTAACTTCCAGGTAAAGGTGGTATCCTCTCTGCTCCTCCAGAGGTTTGTCTCCACTGTGCATGCTCATACATGGTCATTGCACCATAGGTGCTAATTCACAGTCACAGCCACCCTTTTACCTTTTGTAACCTTGTGCATGTTTGCTGTCATTTAGCCCTCCCCAGGGCACCTCTAGCACTCCCAGCTGAGACACTGCATTGCCAGAGAGTCACTTTCTTCCCTCAAAGCATTCTTGCTGCCTGATTGTCCTGCAGATAGGCAAGCTGCTCACTTGCACACATCCTCTTTCCTGCCATGTGGCCCTCAGTTTGCAGTGCAAAGTTACCTGTCTTGCTCACATAAAGCAAACACACACATACTTATTTATGCCATCCTTTATACACACAGGTTGCTAGAGGAGTAGATCATTTGTGAGCTGTAGCCTGTCCCCTGCTAGGAGAAAGTCCATACAGAATACAAGGCCCTGCAGAGTCCTGCGCACACTCAAAGTGAAAAGCATCCCTACTGAGCAGGTTATTCAGCAAATCAATAGCCCCAGGCAATTCTTGGAGATCTGTCCTGTAAGTACTGCCCCAGGCCTGCTCTGCTGGGCTTGCAAGCTGTCAGGAGTGGAGTACACACTGATCCTGCTGAACTTCATCACCCCTTTCTCTGACAGGTCACACTGTGTGTGTGTTTCCCCTGACCGTTTTTCTCTCTTGCACTGTATGTTCTCCATCATACTTTTTTTATTTGTTTCACACTGGTATTTCTCACACTTAGTGCAGCCTCACTTCCTACCACCTCATATTCATCTTGCTTCCTTGTCTGTGAGCACTTATGAACATATGTTTATATTTTCTGGCACAGGCACACCCACCACCAGGCATCCCATTCATCCACTCACAAAACTGTTGCTCAGTGATTTGTCTCAGGCTTCTCCCTTTTAAATGGGTGTTATCAGACAGATGTGGGGAAGAATCTTCTTCCTTGTAGAAGTGCTGGAGAGCAGACATCCCTTCTTTTGAGACAGATCCTCGGGTGATTCAGATAGGATAGCCCAGACAACCACATGTGTGTGATAGGCCAGAGGGTTGCAAAGCTCTTAGCTGGGGGTATGTATGGCACAACAGCAGAAAACAGAGCAGAGGAATGGTGAAAAATGCGATCACTTGTAGAAGAACCACACAATCCAGGTGAAAAACTATTGAAATTATGGCGATGTTTCATCAAAATCCACATGGAAAAATGTTTTTCAACACAACCAAAAGTTTAGGGAAAACAGGCTTTCCCTTTTATTATTATTATTATTACTATTATTATTATTATTATTATTTCTTAAATTTTGCACAAAAAATATTTGCTTTCAAAATATTTCTGATTTTCCTTCCAATTGTCCTTTTCCTCACATCTTCCAATTTTTCTCAATTCAATGGTTTTGAATGTAGTTGCAAAGAACAATGAAGAATGAGAAATGACCACCAACAAAAGGAAAATATAGTAATGATCATTTGGGTTATTTTTCAGTGTCAGGACAAAGTAAAGACAGTGCAAGAAAAATTTGAGTCACAGAAGCCATATGTGCAATTAGAAATGTTCATTAACATCAATTTCTGTTTTCCCTTCTCTCTGGAATTGACCATCCCCAGGGATTTTCACCAATAAGGATTTCAGAACATGACTGGTAGTAGAAGTACAAATGAACAAGTGTTACAGGGAGCTACTGAGCAGATCTGCAGCTAGGCGCAAAGAACTGGTTACATGTGAAATTTGTATAGCTGTTGCATAGTTCAAAGGAAAGCAGCAAAGACACAGGAGCTGTGATTATACTCAGGCACTGAAGAATTTGACTGAGCAGAGACCTTCCTTTCAAATAAAGACTCATGAATCCAGTCCTGAAATCAGAGTGAAGGCCCCTGAGAGTGTGAATGATATGCAACAGTGGAGAGTGATTTTAGTGGTAATTAGCTTGCAGCATAATTGAAGTGCAAGTAGAGGAATCCAATGCTGGAACAGTCTGTGCCTAGGAGCACAAGGGTGATAGCAGCAGAAACCTAATAAGGCAGAAGTCTGATGTAAGATAGAGAACAGGTGTAGAGAGAGAAGAGTAGGCAGAGATCGAGATGCTTATGCAGATAGCATCTGAATGTTCACCTTTCTTTTTTGTTGTTGTTTGTTTGTTTTTTTTTGTTTCTAGAAAAGAGAGAGAATGAAAAGGAAAAGAGAATAGTCACGAGAAATGACAGAAAGGGAGAAGAATACAGGGTGGTAGACAGTCATAGAGAGAAAGAGTGGTGGGGACAGAGACATGTGAGGACGGGATGGGAAGTTAGATCGCTGAGTCAGACGGAGAAAGGGAAAGGGACAGTAAGCACCAAATGGACAGCAGGTTAATTCTAAGAGGAAGACCCTGATTTCTTCTATTAGCAAGAAACTGGAGGCACTCATTTTACCTGTCCATGACTGTCAGGTTCTCTCTCAGGTGATGGGGTTGTCTCTCAGGCTCTGTCTGCACAGTCCTCTGACTTGGTGCACAGAAATATGGACTGCCCTGTATGATCCCTCCCCATTCACCACTATCTACCCCCTGCCAGATTTCGGTGGGGTGTGGTGAGGGGAGGAGTTAGAAAGGTCTCTGGAACTGCAGGAGCCAAAGAGCAAAGGGTTAAAGCTTGAAAGGGGCACCAGTTCTGAAAGATGCTCTGCACTCATTGGCTACCTCCCCTCATTGCACTTGCCATTGGGTCCTCCCAGCCTGCAAAATTATGCTGAATTAATATCAATAACATAACAAGGCAGGAAGCATTGTCTAGTGGTTAGAGGGGGGCCTGGGAGCTGTGTACCACTAACGTGAATGTGGGCAAAAACCACACTATCCCTCTGGGCCTTTGCTCACGCAGCTGTGCCGTGAAGATGATGACACTGCTCTACCCCATGGTCACGGCCACCCTGCGTGCTGCCTGCCGGGCATCCAGGGGGAAGGAGCTCAGGGAATATGAAACTGTTGGCACACTCCCTGTCTCCTCCATTTCCTCTGGCAAGTCCTAGTAGCTGCTTGGCAGCATGAGGCAGCACCAGGGCTGGAGATGAGGGTGAGGGGGACCTAGCTCGTGGGACAGGCACGGGTGTAGTGAGCAGAAATGGAGCTTGTGGTCCCCGTGTAATGCTTGAATGCCACAGGTGCTGGGCTGTGTCAGCACGAAAGGAGCAGGCATAACCCCCAAATCACAAAGCTGTATGCAAAAGACCTGTGGAGCATGACTCAGGCCCCGATCCTGCTGATCACATCTGGAACTGCTGCTGCAAGCAGCTGGCTGTGGGGTGAGATGCCAGAACCCTGCCCCGGGTATCTTGTGGCAGGGCTGCCTGCGCTCAGCAGGCTCAGCGCTAGGTACAGCCAAGCCCGGGCTCTTGCTCAGGACATATATATACCCTCTTTGCTCTACCAGCGGAGCTTTCTGCCTCCTACGTTCTGCTCCACCACCACCCCCTAGCAGCTGCCAGGGTGCTCATCCCTTCTGCAGGGCTGAAGGACAGCCAGGGAGCAACTTCAGCCAGGGAAGGTGGTGGTGGTGGTGGTGGGGCTATTCCACTCAATGTCTTCCCCAGGTAGGGCATGACTGAGATTGCTACAGCCCTTTTGTTTACCTCATGCTAGGGTAGTTCTTCGTTTTTTTCTTTGCTTGATTTACTTATTAATTTTACTGGCTTTCAGCACGCTAGGACTGTGTGAAACCGGTATATGCAAAAACGTGAAAAGGAGAGACGAGTTGCCAGACCAGAGCAGACTACTCTATGTCCCAGCACTTTGAGAGTACTCTGTCTTTCAGTGTGGCCAGCAATGCTTATTTCAGGAAAAGGAAAACTCTTGGGAGGTACAAGGCTGGACTGTCCTACTCCTTGAGGAGGTGTCTTCCTGACTCCACAGGAGTAGAGCACGTGCTCAACAGACACATTTTGGCAGCTGCTTTGGTCTCAAGAGTAGTGGCAATTATCCTCTTCAAGGATCTGGCTCCTAGGGTTTTTCCAAAGCCAGAACAGCCTGCATCTCTTGCAAATCCCCATCCTACATAACAGACTCAAAGGGGACACTCCAGCTAATAAAACAGTTGCCCACTTTCAGCCTTTACCCTAGCAGTGCCTTGTGAAAAATCTCCCAGGTCAGTCCCAGAGTCATTTTGCCACGTTTTCATATTATTTTTTTCCTTTCAATAATGCAAAGAGGATGTTTGTTACACAGGACATAAAAAAAAAAAAGGAAGAAGAAGGAAAGAAAGCAACACACCCCATGAAATGCGCTTCTTAAGATCACAACTGTTTATGTTTCATCAGATAAGTTAAGGTAGCTTCAGCTTTATTGTTGTTCTAGTTCCTAATTTTCACAACCAAACATTTATAGAAAACTTTACCTTTTTTTTTTTTTTTTTCTTTTTTTTCTTCATTTAAAGGAGCTGAAAAATGTCTTCATGCCCAGCCTCCTTGTCCCCATAAACCCGTCTGTGGGTAATGATTTTCTCAAAGGTTTAACATGCCAATTGTCATGAAATGTTTAAGTAGATCCTTTCTCAGGTTCTGTCTGTAAGTGGAATTAATTCTTCAAGGTTTAAAACATCAGTGCTCTTCCTTAAATATTGATGCTCTGCCCAGAGATAAGAAAGAAAAAATGTATGAATGAATAGATGAGTTATTTTTACGTCACTCTTTGGCAAGGGTCAGCAAGTCAAAGCAATGATGCAGACTTTCTAACACCCTTTGTTTTGAGCAGCAGCTTCCCCCTCACTGGCAGTATAAATGTCCAAAGGCAGTAGTAGCAATTCTCTGCTTCTACCTCTAATTGCCAGAGCAGAAACATGTTGGTGTCAAAGCCAGCAGGTGGATGTACTTTCAGGGTCTTGTAGTAAGTCTAGGGTGACATCTTTAGAGGGACCCTCGGCACCTATGGAGTGGCAGGAGCTTCAGCTTTTCTTTCTCATTAGCAGAGGTCACCTCTGATCTTCAGATCTGGTTAAAAAAAGAAAAAAAAAAAAAGAGAGAGAGAGAGAGAGAGAGAAAGAAAAATTAAAAAAAAAAAAAAGGAAAAATTTAGCAAAACATTTTTGATCCTTGATCTAGCTGCTAGTTACTGGCTGTAAATTGACAAATCTAACATATGTATTTGGAATGGGAGCTTATACACATGAAAAGAGATTCTGGCCACTTCTGACCACTCTGGATTTCCTTCCTTGCTGTTCAAAGCAAAGTTATTTGGAGAAGGAACTTGGTTTGGGACAGAGAAACAGTTTGCAGATTATGACTTCATCTGTGTTTCTGATTAAAGCTCAGGTCAGTTAAATAAGGCCATTGGGGAAGGCTAGGAAAGGTCTCTGTATTGGTGTGTTTGGAGTATTATTTAGAAAAAGACACTGCTCCAGCTCATCAGGATTCCAGAAGGATGTCCCAGCATCCTTTTAAGCTTCTTGTACTCAGGAGTTTATTCCTTGTCTTAAAATGAGAACAATGTAGAAATGATTAGCAGACTGAAGAGCACTGTAGGTGCAGAGGAGGAATATCACCATCACTATTACTAAAGTTTCAGAAAGCAAAAAGCAGCTAAGAAATCAGAAAGCAAAGAACTAAGAAATCAGAGAGCAAAAATGTGGTGAATAATTAAAAGTAATCACCTAGCCCCGAAGCAGAAGAGAAGTTGCTTGTTTAATCAACAGGAAGTTGTGTGCTGTTGTGTATCGATATAAATACATATTTATTTTTTCCATTCACCCCTTGCTCAGAAATCACATTTTGAAACGACCGCCAACATCACCAGTTGGTTAGTTCTTACACCGAGCACAAAAAATGCAGCCACCTGCTTCCCCTCGCCTCAAGCGAAAACCTCAACCAGAAAAACTTTCTCTGCTCAACAAGTGCTGGTGCACTGTGGACACAAACTTGCACAGACACCTCGAGCAGGGCAAGAGCATAGTTCTTTGTAGTTAGACCCGGGCAAATAAAGACATCGATCCTATAAGTGCATTACATTGCATTCTGTGTTTGTTCCACAGATTCATCACCCGGTTTTGAAAGACAGACCCAGTTCGGAGGTAGTCCACTTGATCAGGCAGTTCTGCCAGGCAAACAACTCCCATTGCTCCCATCTTAGGTGACAAAAAACCAACAGAACTAGATGAGGAGGCAGCTTGCTCCATGGGGCAAAGGTCCTTGTTCCTAGACCTGCCAACTCTTCTTGCGATGCATCTGATGCTGTGCCTCGGGAGAAGGTTTCAACAGTGGTGACGCAAAGTGCTGCTTTTTGTGGCGTGGAATATACAGCACCACAGAGATATACCAAAGCTCTGAGGATGTGTGTCCAAGTCCACTTGGGGTGGACATGGCCAGGAGGGATGTGTGTCTGTACGTGTGTGCTGGGAAGCTGCAAATGCAAACCTAAACTGCTGTGGGTTACTGTCTCTGAGGGGGCAGCTATGTCAGACAGGAGCAGGGATCCAAGGTGATGAGAAGGAAATGGGTGGGAGAGAAGGCAAGAGTGAAGGGTGTGTGGGAGTACCACTGGGAGGGTGGTTTTATGAAACCTTGGTCCCCACCTTGTGCACTACTGCATGCTGCAGGATTCTAGATGATGCCGCTGATGCAGAACTGAGGGCATCTGGTTGTTGTGTGCGCACACTAAGATCATACTTTATTATGCATTTTACTAGTAATTTGGCTTTCCAGGCTCATACTGCAAAACCTTTACCTGGAGGCTTGACTCACAGTTTATTTTTGTTCCACTGTCAAGTTTGTTTTTGTGTTGGGGGATGAGGCAAATTAGGGTGAAACTATTGAATTGAGTACACATCTTTCAACCGCAGTCCTGCATGTGCTTCTCATTCCTGCCTGTAGCTCTCTACTAGCCCAGCCTGGGTTCCTTGTAGGACCCTAATCCTACTTTTGTGATCCCACATATTTTTTCTGACTAGTGTTAATTCCCGCACCACATCACTAGGCAGCAACAGCTCCATCTGTTGCAACCAGTGCCTGACACCTGCTGGGACCACCACTTGAAGGAGGAAAGGGTCTGGGTTGGTTTAAGGAGTTTGGAAGCTAGTGAATGTCTTCCCCACCATAAATGTAGGTAACAAATATGATTAGAGTCCAAGCACATGCACTAAATGTCCTCATGTGACTTCACTAGCTCAAGGCTGTGACAAGGTTGGCAGCTTATCTCATTTACAGTAAGAAAAACACAGAGTCTGCAATCAAAGCAGAATGCACCTTCCCCATGCTGAGAGCTTTGGGTGGGGAGGTACCACCAGAGCTACTTGCACATTGCTGCTTCCCACAGCAGTGCATGCAGCTCCAGCCTCTGGCATGCCCTGCCTATCTGACTTGGCTTTTGGCTTTGTGCTGCACAGACCTGGAGAGCATTTTCTTTTTGCATAGGGTGCTGCGTGCGGCATTCCAATGTTATTCCATCCTTCTACAGCTCAGTCCCCTGGCCTGGGCACCCAGACCCTGCTCCCAACCACATCTTCCCCTTCATGAGTGGAAGTTACTGGCTCTGTATCTCTGCAATCATCTGCTAGTCACGGGGAGAAACTCTGTTTTGCACCGCAGTTTTTCACAATGAGAGTCACCTCCTCGCTGTGGTTATGGTTTCGCAGACCAAAGTTATCTCTTATTAGCTCCTGTTTGT